AGAGAGAGAGAGAGAGAGAGAGAGAGAGAGAGAGAGAGAGAGAGAGAGAGAGAAAGAGCGAGACGACACACCGTGTACACGGCCCCGACATCGACCACCTTCTCATTCTCGCGCACTCTCGCAAGCTCACGGCGAACTACCGACCATGTCCATAGAACCGGGTAGCTTCACCTCCAACGGCAGCATGATCGTCGTGAGCAACAGGTTGCCGTTCGTGCTAAAGAAGAACGAGACGACCGGTCAGCTGGAGCGCAAAGCCAGGTTAGTGGGACTCCTCTTCCTTCTTGCTCTCCGCGCCGTGAGCCCCGACGATGAGGTGCGCGCCCACCCCTTAGGTACTTTGACCTTACGCGATTAAAGTCGCAAGTTGCGAGGAATAGACGGTGCCTCCCCTCTCGGGGGCCTTCATTGTTTTGTATTACGACATTCGTCGGCGGCGTCGAGTAGTCGCGCTTTAAATACGTCGGCGGCGTCGAGTAGTCACGTTGATCGCCCGGCGCTACGTTTTTTACATTGCAAATGTTATCTCTCCAGCGATTTCGCATAAAATTATTTCCTTCAAGCTAGCTTCCTTCTCTTTCCTTCTTCTTTTTTCTCTCTCTCTTTTTCTCTCTTTCTCTTTCTCGTGTTCTGCTAGAGTGCATAAATGATCACTTCTCGATTCCGCAATTCTTGTGCTATTTATGTACTCGCTATCTTATTTATATATCGAAAGTCGGTCCGCTTTCGCGCGCTTCAATTTCGAGCCAAGGCAACAGCAACGTGACGCAAATGCCACATGCAGTATTTTGCATAAACTTTCACATCGTGTGATGCTCGCGTCAGTGATAATACAGACGTATTATGCGCTTTATCACACGCGCGCTTATCCGCCACCGCACTGGGACCAATTTCACTCGCGTTTACGTGTGTTTACGATGTAACGTCAGTTATGACATCGGTCGAAACTCCGCTCTTGATATGCATGCAATTTCGTATTCGCACCTTCGTGTTTGCACGCACTTCTTTTCTCCCTCTTTTTTCTCTTCTTTGTTTTTTGACTCGCGTAGCTGTCAAGATAACGACTGCGACACAGGTCGATGTGATTGTGTATCGCGTATAGAGTTACATCAAGCCGCCGCTGGCGTTATCTCTCCAGCCGTGTTTTTCAGTCATTAAAATGTCGCTAATGGATTTGAGAATACCATCGCGGACAACACACGGCGGTTCAACAGTTGTATGTATCTGTCTCACAATCGAGAAATCTCGTTCCTTTAATCGCGTTAATTTCCCGATTGTCTGCCTCTCATTTTTCACAAGAGATATCAGAATATTTCATTGGAGAGTGCTCTTTAAGGATTAAATGACTCACGAAAGGCGCTTTAAAGCGAAGGCCGGATTATCGGTCGGTATATGAAAAATTTTTTATTGATTTCACGCAATCTGTTTAGCATCAGATATTCATTAACGTTTGTATTTTCATCCTGTGAAAGCATTTCCAATTTGACGCATCCACACGGAAAAAAATAATTTGCTGCAGCAACAAACTAATTTGCTACATATGGACAGTTAAATATAATTCGCTGTGTTAGCTACTTTTTCTTTGCTGCAGGAACTTATTTTCTTGCTATGATAACAAGAAAGTCTACTCCTACAACAAGGAAAGTGACTAACAACAAATTTGCTACAGATAGACAACTAAACATAATTTACTGCTTTAGCTACTTTTTTACAGATTTTCTTGTTATTATAGCAAGGAAATTGATTCTTGCAGCAAAGAAAAATGGCTAATACAGCAAATTATGTTTCGTTGTCCGTATGTAGCAGACTTTTTCCGCAATTAGAAGAAAAGAGAAAATTTCGGAACTGCGTTATGTCAGTATTCAACATCGCCTTAAACACAAATATCTCAGCTGCGCAAGTTATAGAGTTACAGGATTGTTTTGAGTTAGATTTGAGAAGAATGTCGCTGCCGACGATTTTAGCATCTTTCTGCAGAAATCTGGAATTTACAATCAATTTGATTATAGTCGGAGCTTTTAACAACATTCTAAGAAATGTCAAATGTGTCCGGCGCGATCGTCGCGAATATGAAAAAGTCGCAAAGAGTATCTACGTTTTTTCCAACTTGGTGTCTCCATATTTTGATTGAGTAAATAAGAGAGAGAGAGAGAGAGAGAGAGAGAGAGAGAGAGAGAGAGAGAGAG